AGAACCTGAGGTTCAAGTTGTCACCACAGAATTGGAAGCAGAATTTTCTTTGCCCTCTTAACACTTCATCCCAGGAAATGGTGGGGAACACTTACTGAAGTCTATGTCCTTCAGCATCTGCAAATTAGGATAGCAGCAGTGTCATCCTCAATTCATTGTTGAAGGTCAGTATGAATGTAATTATGCATATGAGATGCATAGAATATGACACCTGGGTACCAGGAGACTGCTTGATAAATGTGCATCTCCCCCTTTAAGTGCTTTTCCAAGGTACTTGTTACCCTTTACCTTACTAAAGGCTATGAACATCATCAGGCAGTGGTGATACACACCATTATCCCAGCACTCGGGAGACAGAGGTAGGCAGGTCTCTGTGAGTTCAAGACCAACCTGTTCTAAAAGAGCTAGTTCTAAGATAGGCTCCAAAGCCACACAGAGAAACCCTGTCTCAAAAAAAAAACTAAAAAATAATACTATGAACATCATTAGTCTGTGGCAGTGGACTTAGAGATGAATAAGAGAAGATCTCTCCTGAGGGATTTCCAGGGGTTCTCACAGAGAAGACCGACATTTCCCCCATCATTCTGTGTTCACCCAGTATTTGCGGGGTGGGGGTGGAGAGGCTCTGTTTTTGGTTAGCAGTTTATATGTACAAATTTTGCATCACCTACAATTAGAGGATATGAGAGCCCTAAAGGAATCAGTACACAGTAAGGGTGCCGAGAAGTGAGTGATTACAACTGAAGGAGCCAGGAGGCTTCATGGAGTAAGCGGTGCTAATTGTGGGGAAAGATGCACTCTCCATGCATAGGCATAAGGAACAGCTTGGATACTGGTTGCACAGAGGAGTGGGCTAAGGGTTTTGATTCTCCTCACACCAGATTTCAGTCTGGAAAAGACTGCCTTCAGTTTCCCGTCCCTGCCACATTGTGTGTGTGTGTGTGTGTGTGTGTGTGTGTGTGTGTGAGAGAGAGAGAGAGAGAGAGAGAGAGAGAGAGAGAGAGAGAGAGAGAGAGAGAGAGAGAGAGAGAGGAAGGGAGTACTTGGGTAGTGGATGAGTGTACAAGGTCTGCTGAGACAAAGAATTACATGCTGAGTGGCTTAAGCAGCAAGAATCTATTTTCTCCTGATTTGGTTGTCCTAAGGTGTCTTTGTTGCTGGAGTTCCCACCAGGTCTCACTACCCTTCAGCCCCAAATAAGCACACAAAGACTTATATTAATTATTAAGCTGTTGGTTGATGGCTAGGGCTTCTTATTGGCTAGCTCTCTTTTAATTATTTAACCCATTTCTATTAATCTAAGTATTTCCAACTGGTCTTATCTTACTGGAGAAGGGTCTGGACCTGTTACTTCTTCTTCAACTACATGGCATCTCCTTTCGGCCTCTCTCTGCCTACCTTTCTCAGAATTTTTCTCATCTCCTAGTCCTGCCTATTTTCCTGTCTCTATTAGCTAAACAGTGTTTTATTCATCAACCAATAAGAGAAACATATATACAGAAGGACATCCCCCATCACCTCTCTCCTGGACTTCCATGTGATTGTTGGCCTCTGGTCCTCATGTGGATTTACCACAGTCTCTACAATTACCCTCTTTCCTTAAGGACATCAGTCACACCAAGTTCAGGACCACAAATGATATCGCATTGACTTAGTCACCTCTTTAGAAACTCTCCCCAGTAGAGTCATCTTCTGAGGTTTGGAGCCTAACATCAATTTGTGAATTGCTGAGGGAGGCCAGGAGAACAGCTTCTTTTGGAACCATGAGAAAATGCGGCATATCTCTGATATCATGCTCCTCAAAAACTCACAGTGATACTAGTGTGAGGGGGTGGAGCCAGGTTTTAATGCCTGCATCTGTACAGAGCATGATGGATCAGTGAGGAGAAGCCGGGCAGCATCGGAGACATGATTTCTAGGTCTGTGCTTCAGAGAAAACTGGTATCTCTTTATCTTTCATTATGTTGAAAGGCATGGTTATCTCTGGTCCCAGGAAGCCACAACACTTCCCTTCTGTCTCATTCTCTACCTCAGGGTTAATCATGCTTGCATGCTGGGAAGTGAAATTAAGAGTGTTGCCTGGGGATGTATGTGCCTCACTGGCCACACCAAGGTGGGGAATTGTTTCACCTCAGAGGCCCTGATATTTCAGGAAGTTGTCCTTGTTTTTGTCTCCTGCCAGCACATCTCTACTGTTTTAGGAAGTGGACAGCAGTTTGGAAATAAATATGCTTTCTGATGGTAACTTTGTTGCCAAGAATGTATACTAGAGAAAGCAAAGAATAACCAGTGTTGCTGGGAGGGAGGCTGAGGAGCTTTGAAAATAGTGCCTACTTATCCCAATGGACTTGTGTTTAACCATATAAACTCACAGAGGGAAAAAACCCAAGTAGCTGAATTTTTAAAATATATTTAAAATTTTATTTTTCTGCGTGTGCGTGCACAAGAATGTACCACCGTATGTGTGTTGAGATCAGAAAACTACTTGTGGGAGTCAGTTAACTTCTTCTATTATATGGATTCTAGGGATGGAACTGAAGTCCTCAGGCTTGGTGGCAGGCACCCTTGGCCACTGAGCCATCTCATTGGCCAATGTGGCTTAATCTGAATGTCACTTTGTCTCTATGTCAATGTGCATTAGAGCCAGCCCACCCTCTCAGTCCTCTCCATGTGTGGTCTCCCTTGGTTGGTCCTGCTTAGTCTTCTGAGCTGTCCTCACCTTCAGAGGGGACTGAGGACTTTCTGAACTTTCTGCATCTTTTAAGTATGGCTACTTTCTTGAGTCTTATGAACCTCTCTCCTTCTTCCAGAAAGGAATGTTTCAGTTGGAATGAAATAGCTACAAATCACCCTCATGTAGAGGGAGGGCATCTTTCTTTAGAGGACCTTACCATCATTTAGATTTTTCTCTCTGTCTCTGTCTCACCCCCCCCACCCCTTGCCGTGTGTGTGTGTGTGTGTGTGTGTGTGTGTGTGTGTGTGTGTAAAGCTGGGTGTTCTATTTGTGATGATTTGATTGATGTATACACTAGAAACATCTTTAATAATTAAATGCCTGCTTCAAAGGGGCTTACACCAAAAAAAACATTTCTTTTCACTTATTCATTACAGATCTGTCAGAGCAGAGAGAGCAGAGGTTTGGTGTGTGTGTGTGTGTGTGTGTGTGTGTGTGTGTGTGTGTGTGTGTTTCCCTGAATGAGAATGTCATGGTAATAGTAAATTTTATTCCAGACTATGGGCATTTTAAAGGATTATAAGCCTTTTAACTAATATTACCATCTTATTTAAATTGATCAAATTGCTATTTCAGTATCATAATCTTACATCTTTTTAAGTTGTGCTAGGCAGCTGTGGCTTTATTTGATGACTACTAAGTAGCCATGCTGGGGAAGTCTAATGGAGATAATGAGATGAGAGCATAATGCTGATGGCTAGTGATGGTAATAATGGCAGGGAACCAGAGTGAAATTTGGAACTAGATGCTAAGAGATTAGGAAACACACCAGCCCTCTATAAAGAGAAAAAAATTAACAGTTTGGGAATTTGTCAAAGAAAGAGGTTAAGAATAAGGGGAGAAAAAATAAGAATATAAAATCTAAAATCAAGGAATCATATTCTCATTTTACAATTAATTCTTAGTTATATATCCAGATGTCAGGAAAATAGATTTTTCTCCTGCCTACATGTAATTATCTTAATAGACTTTAATAAACACTCAGAGAGTTGAGGACTGCATTTATATCCATAAACAATTAAATAATGACCCATTTCTTTATTTTTATGAATATATTATCCAAATACTCTCCTCCACATGTAAGGAGAATTGTACCAAGGCTAGGAAGTTGCCCTTGGGGAAGAAGTGGTAGAGGGCTGTCCTTGACCTTGGGGTGGTTGTTGATGCAGTGAAGTGTTGTCTGCACAGGGTACAGGCAGGCTTAAAGATAGTAAGATGTTCGGGCCAAAGCAATCTCATAAACAGTGCATGTGAGTAGTTTCTAAGTCACTGGTGTGCAATTACCCCATTGCCTGAGAACATCCAAAAGATCCCGCTCTTCTCAGTTGTGAGCACTGTGAGTTTCTGTCCAGTGCTTCTCATAAACCTCTGCTTAACAGCCCTTACAAAGTCCAGTCCCTAGATAACACCAGGGGACTCTGGTAAAGGCACAGCAATGCTTGGTTTTCAGTTGCTAATTCTTTAAACAGTGCAATCAGTGAGGCATGGTGCAGATGTCACCTTCCGTGGCCACTAGAAGGAAACATGAGTGTCTCCCCGGTGGCGCTAAAGTGAGGGATACAGCCTTATTTTTTGATATTTGTTTAAGGTGGGATACCAGGAATTTAGGCCAGACTTCCTGGGCTCAACACTCACCCAGCTTGGTCTCCTGTTACATGGTATTATGGGTACCGAGTGGGTTAGTGTTTTCTCACTCAGATGATGAGTACACTAGATTCTGTGGGATTCTGTGCTGGCTTTTGCACTAGTGAGTGCTCTCTGCCTCTGTGGATACTGGTGAGTGGTATTGCTGTCTTGAACTCAAGTTTTCTAAACTGTGAGTGTGGAGTATTCTCACCTTCTTGAGAATCTTTGATCTCAGTCTGACTTTCATCATACTTTTTATTCATGTACAAGTTTTCCATCTCTTTGGTTTATTTTATTTGCAAATATTCCTTTTAGTCTTTTCAATACTTTTTTTTTCATTTTTCAAGACAGGGTTTCTGTGTAGCTTTGGAACTACTCTGTAAACCAGAGTGGCCTCAAACTCACTGAGATCCACCTGCCTCTGCCTCCCCAGTGCTGGGATTAAAGGTGTGCACCACCATCCTGGTCAGTGGAAATTTTAAGGGTAGATGCTCAGTGAATGTAGACATTGGCTACCCTATAAACTACTGCAGCTGTGAGGAGGTTTTACTTGGCTGTGGTATTCTGAGCATAGTTCTGTAGTGTGTGGTGGAGGAGCCCTGTCACACTTCTTTTACCCATTGTTTCTTTTGCTTCATAGAGGCCAGCAGAAATAGTTGATGAGGAAGAAGATGGAGAGAAAACAAACAAAGACATCAAGCAGAAAGAAGGCTTTTCAGCAATGAATGGTGAAACTGAAGATGGAGGGAGTAGTGAAGCTGCTGATGCCCCTAAGCAAGAGGAGGAAATCCCAGACCATGGAGAGAAGAAAGCAAGTCCTTCTCGGGTAAATGGTACCACCGATGAGGAAAATGGTGAGGAACTGGACCAGGTTACTGAGGAGCTTCAACCAACAGTGGATGAGGAAGGGAAGGCTGAAGGAGACAACAGTGGACATGATGAGGTACTTCTGTTATTTTGGCTGCCTCAGCATAAATGTGCATGTACACATGCTTGCCTACACATGAACATGCTTAGAAAATTAGTCATACACTTAGATTCTGCAGCAAAACTCCTTATGGTAGTGTAAGAAACACTGAGCACCATTTAATTAATTTCAATTTTTACTTATTTCAATCAATTAGCAAGTACTGGCATGTATATTTGTTTTGTATCCTGTCCTCTATCCACCCTTCTATGTACCCATTCATCTACCCACCTGCCTATCTACTCACTCACCTACCTATCCATCCATCCATCCATCCATCCATCCATCCATCCATCCATCCACTCACTCACCCACCCACCCACCTCCCCACTAGCTAAGACTAGGGAAGAACAAATTAGAGAATGGTATCAAGCTCAGTGAGACCTTAAACAAATTTAAAGAACTACTTTAAATTTAAAGAACTACTGTGGTGATGGTGCACACCTTTAATCCCAGCACTTTGGAGGCAGAGACAGGTGGATCTCTGTGAGTTTGAGGCCAGCCTGATCTACAGAGCGAGATCCAGGAAAGGCTCTAAAAGCTACAGAGAAACCCTGTCTAGAAAAGCAAGCAAGCAAACAAACAAACAAAAGACCCACCAACATCTTTGCTACTAACCAGGACTTCTTTGCTTTTTAGAGAAATTAATGTCTAGTTGTTTAATCCACATGAAATAGATTAATGAAGCATTCAGCTTACCAGGTACTGGTTTGTTTCACTGTAGCAAAGTCCAAGAGAGAGAAAGGTTAGCAGCAGAGTAGTGTAAAATGTTTTCATGGCCAAGCTTTAACAGTCACTCCAAAACTACCTGTATTCCACCATACCCTTCGATAATGCATTTTTTAATATCTGAAGGGAAACACTTGGCATACCTCATGTTTCATCTTTACTCAAGATGAGATTTTTCAGAGTGTGGCTGTGTAAGACAAACAGAACACAATTCCTCATATGGAGCTCAACAGTCCTCCTGGCTGTGTATAGAGAAACAATAGTGGGTTTCACAAAGTTCTCTGCTGTTGTATCCTTTGATGAAAGCTTACAATGAAATCAAAGCGCAGTTCTACTTCGGGCTTGGTAGGAAGATCCTGGTATGCAGTCTTCGGTGGTTTAGCTTAATTCAGTGTGTGACCTAGTTAGACTTCACAAAATGCATGTTTTGTAAAAATCTTCCTGTAATTTGCAACAACATAGAATAAGGTCAGAGGGCATTATATTAAGTGAAACAAACCTGATACAAATACTGTATGAGCACCTTTGTATAAAAAGCTGAATTTATAGAAGCAGAGAGTAGAATGAAAGTTACTGGGGACTAAGGGTTGGGTCTGGAGAGATGTTGGTCAAAGAACAGAACATTCCCATTCTGAGGAGTAAGTTCTGGAGCTGTGTTGTCCAGCATGGTGACTATTCCTAAGGAACATGGGCTTATCTTAGAGTAGTGTTCCTATTCCTACAGATAGAGAAGGAAACTGTGAGGTAATGTAGATGTTAATGAGTTCAAGTTAGCTGACCCACAATGCATATCTATTTTAGGACAGTATATGTTATGTCATAAACAATTGTTTTCAATTAAAATAGACCAATTTAAAAAATAAAGTAATAAAAATAGGTTTTTGATAGGAATTGGGCATCACTTAAGTTCAGGGTTATATAACTGGGCAAGGGCCTGAAGCATGCATGTCTGTGGTGTGTAATGTGTTGAGCCCAATTCTTCAGTGCTCAGATTAATGGCTCATTGTCACAGATGGAGCAGTTACTCATAGGAGATAGAGTCTCACTTGATTGTCTCCTCTCGCAATGATTTTATATGTTATCCTTGCTTGCCTTCATACGTATACTTCAAGTATACCAAGTATATGAACATCTGAACTTATGTGTACTGTAAATTGTAGGTTAACAATGGACTTTCATAAAAGGGTTCTTTAATCACAAATGACTAAAAATTAAGTTTACATGTAACATTTTGTCATATGTAATAGTTCTTGTGCAATGTGACAAATAAAAATAGCAAGAAATAGATGACATACACAATATCAACTGACACTGTAGGAAACAGCAGGAAATAGAGGACAAATACACAATAGGAACTGTCATCTATTAAGATTATGAGTTTATGTTATATTTATGACATCATTTGCAATACTTCATGATGAAGCAATGTGAAATAAAATACAGACCTGGAAACATACATACATACACACACATATATATATAGGTACACACATATGCATATACAGACATACATACATTCATATATACATATACACATATTTGCTGGCATATATACTTTCATAGATATATATATAAGCACTTTTGCATGTACAAACATATGTATTTACATATACACATCTATATACACAATGCATTCTTACATGTACATTCAGATATACAAGCATGTATACATATACACATACATGCATATATATGTATACACACATGCATATATATGTATACACACATACATTCATATGTATTTTAGCATAAATCTTGCCTGTGGGGATTAGTAATCTGGAGCTGTTCTTGTCCCTAAGGCTGGGGGCCCTTTTGAGGCTGTGAAGCCTCCAGAATTTCATGGGCTATAGTTTGAAAACGAGTCAGTTCTCATCTCACACCTTAATAGTAGCCTAATGGGCAGATGAATTATGAGTGAGAGAAATGTCATTGGTAACAGGAGATGTGAAAGGAACAATGGTTGCTCTGGAGAAAAGCTGCTTGTATGCTTTGGTTTTATGTCCTCCTCTTACCTACCAGACACCGATACTCTCTGGCACTTGGCATCAAGCTATGAATCTGCAGATTCTGGTGGAAGAGGATCATAGGGAGCACAACCAGTTAGTGAGACATGGAGGGGAAACTGAGATGTTGTTTCTTCACTCACTCTGGAAGTACCTAACTGAAAAGTGTAAATGTACCTTTGAACAGAAAAAGTGAAAGAGACACAGAGAAAGTGAGAAAAATAACCCTGCCACATAAGAGATGACACTGTGCTTTCATTTCATCTAGTTATTTATTTTTTAGTTTTAGTTTGTCCAGACAGGCTAGTCTCAAACCTATTATGCAGTTGAGGGTGGCCTTGAACTCCTGATCTTCTGCCCCTTCCTCTTAAGTGCTGGGATTATGGATATGTGCTGCCACACCTGATTTTAAAACACATATTGGAGTACGGTCACATGAGTTGTCAGTACAAATAAACAGCTGAAAGTAGCTAGCTTGGAGAAATGATTGACTAAAACCAAGGGAAAATGAGGGATAGTTTGTAGTTGAATACTTACTTACTGGTTAAAGGGACATTTATGTGAACTTTATTATTCTCATGAAGCAATACTTGTTTTGGTCTATTTTTTTTTTCAGGCTGACTTAGATGCTCAAAGACCACCAAGACCAGAAGTGACAATCACCAGTCCTCAAGAAAATGAAGAGAATGAACAAAACAAGGACTCTTCTGCTGTGGCATAGATGGTTTTAAAGCAGGCAATACCTGGGTTGTAAGAGCATGAAGGGATGTAATACTTGAATAATGAACATGGCACCTCTGTAAGGTAGATGTAGCAATATCACTACCTTCTGAATTTTCAAAATAGAAGCTAAATGGAAGGAAAGTTAGGAAATTTGTAGCTCAAAGCAGAATGACTTATGTTTATGACAGATGTAAAAAAAAATCCTTTAAAAGAATCAAATGAGCGAGACAGAGGGGATTTGTACCTTAAGACAGCTGACTACCTGTGTTTGTATAGGAGAAGGATGTGGCCTTGCTCCCATTAGATACTTTATTATAGACTTGGAAGCAAGAATATTGGCAGCTTGTTCTAAAGCATTTATCTAGGGAAGTATAGATTTTTAAAGAATTGATAATAGGAAAACATGTATTATGTTCTTAAAGCAATAAACTGTTGATTGAACAAATTACAATTTAGTTTCAGAGATAATTTGAAGATGGCAATGGATCCAAATGTCCTGAAGCTATTGACATTCCTTTTTTTTCTCCTGCCAAGGTCTATCTCTGGCAAAGTTAAAACAGTCTTCTAAGGGGAGGAAATACTTCTACAGGGCCTTGGTGATTCACACCAGGTGTGTGTCCTGTGGCACATTCTCAGGCAGGAACAAGAGAGTGAGATCTGGAAATCCTGAGATATTCACTGGTCTAGTCTGTTTGTATCAGGAACAAAACCTTTCCTTTCCTATATGCTGTTGGAAACTCAATATTGGTTGATTGAATTCTTTCCAAAATTAAACATATGTATATATATATATATATATGTATTATTAAATACAAGGGACTAGAACAGGAAGCAACAAGTAGAAGAGTTTCTGATCACCCAGTTCCTTTACTTTGTACTGTGTTTCTGTCAGGGCTGCCAGACAGGGAGGGATATCATCTCCCTCCATCCTTCTGTCTGTCTGTCTGTCCATCTGTCCGTCCATCCATCCATCCATCCATCCATCTATCCATCCATCCATGCATCCATCCTTCTCCCAACCTTTTAGACTTTCAAACATATTTTAAGCCTTTTTTAGCCTTTCAAGCAGATTCTTTTCTTTAAATTTAGATTCAATTTGATGGAAACTGGCAAAAAACTCAATTTTTTTCCATAGCTCCCAATTTTACTTTGTGGATAGGTTAAATTAATGTGCTTTCACCTTATGAGGTATAGATGAGGGTAACGATAATTGCATTAGTTTGATGATCATAGTAGGGAAATGTGCCTCTTCCCTAAATATAGAAATAACATGTTTTTTTTTTCATTTTAAAGAATATAGTTTTACTCATATAGAGGATTTAAACTGGGAAATTTTAACTTCTAGTGCTTTTGTAAGATCCATTGCTATTGTAAGTCTAAAAGATTGTTTTCTCCTCCAGATTTCACAACCAACCATCTGGAAGAAAAATAGTCATGAGTTATATATACTAAAGTAATATAGAAAATAGATGCGTTTCCCTCAAAAACTATTTTGATTTTCCATAAATAGAAAGTATGAACAGAGCTTATGATGTCACAGTATTTGAAAGAGATCCTGACACAGGGCCTGGTAATCCGGGAGGATGGATTTTAACTGGGACACAATCTGGATTGTGCTTTCTCTGTACCATCTTACTTTTCCAAATGTGACAGTATTGCACACGTGGACTGTCAGCAGCCATCTTGCACTGGTAGGGAAAAGAGAAGCTGGCCTTCTGATGTGAAATTCTGGAGTCTGGGGTTGATGATACAAACATCTTATACAATTGAACATAAGAAATTTGAACTAACCCTCAAATTGATTCTCTTCTTGCAATTTCTCAGTTTTAATTTTATATCACTGATGTATTAGCCATATTTCCATTTTAAAGACACTTATGATCACTGGTTTGCTGTGGAATTGAAACATTGGGAGTTTAGTACTTGGCCAGAAGTGACTTTGACTGATGTCACCTTCAGGGAGGGGTGTGTTACATGCTTGGCATCTGTTGAAGCCATTATTGCATGCCCATCACCTTCCTGCTACTATTACTACAGGGCAGCCTCCTCTTCTCTGTGCTCTCCAACGTCTCAAGAAGACTTGTTATTCAAAACGTTTGTCTTGCATTTTATTTTTTAGTGTCAGAATGCCAGACTCATCCATAGGAAGAACATGATACGGTCCTGTGTCCAGCTTTATTCTGAAAGGGTTAATTCATACATGTGACTTAAGCTCAGTCACATATTTCTGTGGGTGCACAACTGTGAGGTGACACTGACATGTTTTATGCCGTCTATCCTATGGTAGGGCCCCAAATCCAGAAACCTGAAGTTTTTCTTTTTTTTTTTAATTTAGAAACAATATTTTACATATCAATCCTGCCATTCCCTCTCCCTCAGATCCTCCCATGCCCTCCACTGCCCCCCAACCCATCTCCACCCACACTCCAAGTATAGTGAGGCCTTCCATGGGGGATCATCAAAGCATATCACATCATTTGGGGGAGGGCCTAGGCCCTCCTCCATGTATCTGTGCTTAAATAGTATCCCATAGGGAATGGTGTCCCAAAGTCCATTTTTGCACCAGGGATAAATACTGGTTCCACTGTTAGAGGTCCCATAGCCTGCCTAGGTCTCCTAGCTGGCACCCGCATTCAGAGGTCTTGGTTCAGTCCAATGTTGGTTCCCCAGCTTTGTGACTGGGGTCCCTGCTCTCACTAGGTCAGGTCAGTTGTTTCTGTAGGTTTCTCTAGCATGGTAATGACCCCTTTGCTCATCCCTCCTCCCTCTTTACAACTGGATTCCAGAAGTATGGCTCAATGTTTAGCTGTGGGTGCCTGCTTCTGCTTCCATCAGCTACTGAATGAAGGCTTTAGGATGGCAATTATGATAGTCATCAATTTCATAATAGGGGAAGGGCATCAAAGGTGGCCTCTCCACTACTGCTTAGATTCTTAGCTGGGGTCATCCTTGTTGATCTCTGGAAATTTCCCTAGTGCCAGATTTCTCTTTAAGCCTATACTGGCTCCATCTGTTAAGGTATCTCCTTTTTTACTCTTCTCTATTCCTCCCGTGACTCAGACTTCCTGATCCCTCTTGTTCTCCTCCCCCTCCTCTTCTCCCCTTCTCTTTTTCCTCCCTCCTTCCCATTTCTCCCCCCTCCCAATTTTCTCAGGAGTTCTTGTCCCTTTTGTCTTCTTCGAGGGACTGTATATTTCCTCTCTTAGGTACCTCCTTGTTTCCTAGTTTCTCTGGTGGTATGGATTATAGTCTGATAGTCCTTTGCTCTATGTCTAATATTTATATATGAGTGAGTACATACCATGCTTGTCTTTCTGTGACTGGATTACCTCACTCAGGATGGTTTCTTCCAGATTCATCCATTTGCCTGCAAATTTCAAGATTTCTTTTTTTTTCTGCTGAGTAATATTCCATTGTGTAAATGTACTACATTTTCTCCATCCATTTTTGGTTGATAGGCATCTAGGTTGCTTCTAGGTTCTGGCTAGTACAAACAACACTGCTATGAACATAGTTGAACATATGTCCTTTTTGTATGAATGTTCATCTTTGGGTATATGCCCAAGAGTGGAATTGTGGGATCTTGAGGTAGACTGATTCCCATTTTCCTGAGAAGCCACCATACTGATTTCCAAAGTGGCTGCACAAGTTTGTACTCCCACCAGCCATAGAGGAGCGTTCCTCTTTTTCCACATACTTTCCAGCATAGATTTTCATTGGTGTTTTTTATTTTAGCCATTCTGACTAGTGTAAGATGGTATCGCAGAGTTGTTTTGATTTGCATTTCTCTAATGGCTAAGGATGTTGAGCACTTTCTTAAGTGTCTTTCAGTCATTTTAGACTCCTCTATTGAGAATTCTCTATTTAGCTCTATACTCCACTTTTTAACTGGATTGTTTAATGTTTTGGTGACTAACTTCTTGAGTTCTTTGTATATTTTGGAAATCAGTCCTCTTTCAGATGTGGGGTTGGTGAAGATCTTTTCCCATTCTATGGGCTGCTGTTTTGTCTTATTGACTGTGTCCTTTGCCTTACAGAAACTTCTCAGTTTCAGGAGTTCCCATTTATTAATTGTCGATCTCAGTGTCTGTGCTGCTGGTGTTATGTTCATGAAGTGATCTCCCATAACAATTCTTTCAAGGGTACCTCCCACTTTCTCTTCTAAGAGGTTCAGTGTGGTTGGATTTATGTTAAGGTATTTGATCCATTTGGATTTAAGTTTTGTGCATGGTGATAGATAAGGATCTATCTGCAGTCTTCTGCACACCAGTATCCAGTTTTGCCAGCACTATTTGTTGAAGATACTTTCTTTTTTCCATTGTATAATTTTAGCTTCTTTGTCAAAAATCAGATAAAGGGACCAAACCTAAGAATAATAGGTATAGAAGAAGGCAAAGAAGCCCAGCTCAAAGGTGAAGAAAATATATTCAACAAAATCATAGAAGAAAACTTTCCAAATCTAAAGAAGGACATGCCAATGAAAGCACATGAAGCTTACAGAACACAAAGGAGATGGACCACAAAAACATCCCCTTGACACACAATAATCAAAACACCAAACTTACAGAATAAAGAAAAAATATTAAGAGCAGCAAAGGGAAAAGGCCAAGTAACATATAAAGGCCGACCTATCAGAATTACATCTGACTTCTCAATGGAAACCTTGAAAGCCATAAAGTCCTGGATAGACATTCTCCAAACACTAAGGGACCCTGGATGCCAACACAGACTACTATATCCAGAAAAGCTTTCAATCACTATAGATGGAGATAACAAGCTATTCCATGACAAAACCAGATTTAAATAATACATATCCACAAATCCATCCCTACAGAATGTTCGGGAAGGAAAACCAAAGCAAGCTAACTGCACTCATGAAAACATGGGCAATAGATAGTCCCACTTTACCTAAGGAGGAGGGATCCACACACAATACCACAGCCAACAACAAACCCAAAACAAGCAAGAATAAAAATCAATGATCATTAATATCCCTCAATATCAATGATCTTAACTCATCTATAAAAAGACACAGGCTAACCGAATGGATATGAATACAGAATCCATCCTTCTGCTGCATACAAGAAACACACCTCAACTTCAAAGACAGATGATACATCAGAGTAAATGGTTGGGAAAAGATTTTCCAATCAAATGGATCCAAGAAACAAACTGATGTAGCTATCCTAATATCTAACAAATTGGACTTCAAGTTTTTCTTTAGAGGGCTGGCAAAATGGCTCAGTAGCTAAGGTGCTTGCTACCAGGCCTGATGCTCTACACTGTGGCATGCACATGTACAAAGCCTCCCCTTCCCCAGTTAAATAAATACATGTAGAGCCATCATTTTCTTTAGACAACCTGTCTTATACACAGAGGGTGAATTTCATTTAGAGAAGATCAATGTGCTTAAAACTGGCTGCAGTCAGGCACAACTAGCTCACACTT